CCAGCCTTAGGGGGAGATATTAAAGAAATGGACCCACGTACGAAAGATATTACTTGGAATGCAACAAATTTATCTTTTCTTGATTCTCGCACAAATGCTTGTGAACAAGAAATTCAAAAGATTATTCATTTACAAAATGTTGCAAACCAATTGCCTGATGCTTTCACAGACTCAAAGAAAGTGACAAAGTCACATGTTCCAGCTATGAATGCTCCTTCTCGAATAGAAATTCCTGCGGAGATTAGTGAAAGAACACTTGCTAATGAATCTATGATACGTAAAAAACGTGGTAGACCACTTGGTTCAAGAGATTTGAAACCAAGAAAATTTAAACAGCAAGTTGTAGTTTGTGATGCCAAAGAAGTTCAACCTTCTCAAGAAGAAAATGAACATTTTGAAAATATCGGCCTTGAAGATAACATCAATAATAATGATATCTCAAAAGAGGATCCAATCACCTTCGAAGAGGTAAATATTCCAGATAAAGATAGAAACGTCGATAATTTTGAAATTTCAATTAATTACGTTTCTAATGGAATACAATGGAATAGAAATGATATTGATGTTAATGATATATTTTCATATGCCATCGCCACAGATATAATGAATGAACACGATGACAATGAGCCTAAATCTATTGACGAATGTCGTCGTAGAAATGATTGGCCAAAATGGAATGAAGCAATTCAGGTAGAATTAAAATCGCTAGAAAAGCGTAATGTTTTTGGACCAATTGTCCATACGCCAAAAGGCGTAAAACCTGTCGGTTTTAAATGGGTTTTTGTGCGTAAACGCAACGAGAAAAATGAAATCGTTAGATACAAAGACCGACTTGTTGCCCAAGGTTTTTCTCAAATGCCAGGAATCGATTATGATGAGACGTATTCTTCAGTAGTTGATGCTACAACTTTAAGATTTTTAATTGGCATGTCTGTTTTTGAAAGGCTGCAAATGCGCCTAATGGATGTGGTGACCGCATATTTATACGGTTCACTCGATACAAACATATATATGAGAATTCCTGGAGGCTTTAAAATACCTGATGCTTATAGCTCGAAATCTCGAGATTTATTTTCCATAAAATTGCAAAAGTCATTATATGGATTAAAACAATCTGGACGCATGTGGTATAACCGTCTCAGTGAATATTTGATTAAAGAAGGGTATAAAAATGATCCTATTAGTCCATGTGTTTTCATTCAGCGATCTGAATCGGGATTCGCCATAATTGCAGTATATGTTGATGATTTGAATATAATCGGAACTCCTAATGAAATTGAAAATACTGCAAAATATCTCATGAAAGAATTTGAAATGAAAGACCTTGGGAGAACAAAATTTTGTCTCGGCATTCAAATTGAACATTTGAGAAATGGTATTTTCATCCACCAATCAAATTATACCGAGAAACTTTTGAAGCGATTTTACATGGATAAAGCACATCCACTCAATTCTCCAATGGTGGTTCGATCTCTCAATGTGCATGATGATCCTTTCCGACCTTGTGAAGATGATGAAGAAATCCTTGGTCCCGAAATACCATATTTGAGTGCTATTGGAGCATTAATGTATTTGGCTAATAATACTCGACCAGATATTGCTTTTTCTGTAAATTTATTAGCCAGGTACAGTTCTTCCCCAACAAGAAGGCATTGGAATGGTGTCAAACATATATTCCGATATCTCAATGGTACAATCGATCTTGGATTGTATTTCAAGAATGGTGCAAATGCCACTTTAATTGGCTACGCGGATGCAGGATACTTGTCTGATCCACAAAAGGCAAAATCACAAACAGGATATTTATTCACCTATGGTGATACCGCTATATCATGGAGATCAATGAAGCAAACATTAACTGCAACATCATCAAATCATGCAGAATTAATTGCTCTTTATGAAGCAGGTCGTGAGTGTGTCTGGTTGAGATCAATGATCCAGCACATACAAAATGAATGTGGTATAAAATCTTTTACTTCTAATCCTACTGTGATTTATGAAGATAATACAGCATGTATAGCTCAGATCAAAGGAGGTTACATCAAAGGGGACAGAACAAAGCATATAGCACCAAAACTTTTCTCCACACATGATCTTGAGAATGACGGAACGGTTGATGTCAAACAAATCAAGTCATGCGACAACCCTGCTGATTTGTTCACAAAGTCATTGGCACCGAAGAAATTTGAAGAACTGGTCCATAAAATTGGAATGTATCGTCTTCGAGATATATGTTAAATTGAGGGGGAGTAATATAATGCACTGCACTCTTTTTCCCTTCGTCAGGTTTTTATCCCACTGGGTTTTTCCTGACAAAGGTTTTTAACGAGACAGTACATTATAATACTATGAAACTAATACCCCAGAATAATTAGAAGATGACCATTCAAGGGGGAGTGTTGAAATATTATTGAATTAGTCATCTTCTAACTATTCCTGATTAGGAATTATTATCACCATTACATAAATAATTAGGAAATCATAATTGTGATTTCAAGGTGATAAATGTGTGGCTCACAATGATCTCCTAATCTCATTGAGCTCACACTTTCTCCTATAAATAGGAGTCATTCTCATTGTAATTAACACACCATGGTTACACCATTATCACACTCTCAATAATATAATCTATCACTAAGTGTTCATACTATATTTCTCTCCCTGATCTTCTGCTTATTTCCTTCCATATTATAACAATTATTACATTACACTTTACCATTTCAATACTAATTACACAATTTGACTTTTTTTAATAATCTCATCATTGTCTTTTGTTCCAATCTTAGGGACACAGAGCTAGTATCTCATACGTAGTAATATGTTTTTACATTTTAGAATCAGTATATTATCCAATTTATTTTAATTTTATCTTCTTCAGTAAAAACCTCACCCAATAAAACTCCACAAGAGACGGTGATGGAGTCCATGTCTTCTCGGCGAGAAAAGGCAGAACGGGTTATGGACAGAACTGTGGTGCAATTTGTCCATGTCTTGAAGTTAATTAGACTTTCTACTCTCACACGTTCTTTTTCACAGTGTTCGACTTTTTTTACCCATAACTAAACAAGAGACTAAAGTGCATTGGAAATAAAATTGAATACACAAAATCTCAGTCGATGATATGCACTCTTTATGGTGAGGTAAGGATCAGATTGGTACTCAAAGTTGCATAAAAAGGGTCAAATAAGTCCTTACTGTCCGGCCGTCACCATTTGAGGCGGTTCCCGGTGGAATTTTTTGATGAATTTTTTTGAGCATCTTATTTATTAAGTCTAGTTTACTCATACCAAATTTCAGCTAAAACTTCAATCGAGAAGGCATTCCAATGAATTTTTGAAGATAACTACGCTTTTAACTGCGTAGTTATCTTCAAGAATTCATTTGAATGCCTTCCCGGTTGAACTTTTAGCTTAAATTTGGTATGAGTGAACTAGACTTAATGAATAAGATGCTCAAAAAATTTCGTCAAAAAATCCACCGGGAACCGCCCCAAATGACGACAGCTAGACAGAGCCTCCTATATAAGAACTTATTTGACCCTTTTTATGCGAGTATCAATCTGACCCTTACCTCGTTGCTCGAAGTGGTTAACGTGACTTGATAGCTTTAGGGAGTGTTTGCAACAGCTTCTGATTTAAAAAAAGCACTTTTGGAGTGATTTGGAAAAAGTGATTATTTGTAAAAGTTGATAGTGTTTGAGAAAAAAGTGATTTTGAAAAGTAAAAGTTGGTAGTGTTTGGTAAAATAAGTGCTTTTGGTGTATAAAAAGTGGAAAAGCACTTTTGACACGAAAGCCGAGAAAAATAAAAAATTGGTAGTGTTTGGTAAATAAGTGCTTTTTTAAGCCAAAAGCTGAGAAGTGCTTTTTTTAAAGTGGTTGCAAACCAGCCTTTAATATCATGAGCCGTTAATGTACACATTAGTACACTACCATTATATATGTGGACGAGAATTGGGACACATATATTAGATGTGTCAATTTCCCCAAGCCAATACGGAGTACTACGGAGTACTTGTGTATCATTGGATATTGTCAATTTTAGGGGTGCAATTTTAATATTAGGAATTAAAAAAACGTTGGAATTGCTACACATGATTTATAAAATGTCAGCGGTTCTATTCCTATTATTTTTAATTGCTCAGTTTTTAGTTCCTACAAGAAATATGACTGAGAAACCGTTACATGTAGTACCATTTTTTTCGGCAAAGTTAAGGTACCATTATTAGAAAATGAGTATAAATATTAAGACTAATAACAACAGTAATAATAATAATAGTAATATTAATAACAAAACAATAACAATGCTAATACTAACAATAAATGTAGTAATCAATATATATATATATATAAGAGGAACTTTTTAAGAGCATACAGTATGCCACATAATCCTGCCATGTCATCATATATAATAATTATTTATTACTTTTTATGCTTTTTATTTTTTATTACATTCTATTTTTATTGCATATTGATATGGAAACAAAATATTGTACGATTATATAGAATCCACCTTATTTATACTACGTAACTTTTTGAGAACCTCTACTTACTCCGTATTAATTTGTATGACACGGATTCAACATCCTTTTTATATTTGTAATGAAAAATAAAGTAGATTGAAAATTTATTTGTAAGAACTAAATTTTAGATGATGAAGTATGTCATTCATAAAATTTAGTTACAGTAGATTTAATTCATAATTTGTATTAATTTGTATGACATGGTTCAGCCATCCCTTTTTCATAATTTCGAAGATTCTGTCAATTTAGCCCAATCAGTTAGATTTAATTTATTACAGTAGAACCAGACAATTCAACTTATTTTAGTATTATCAAACTGCATTATATATGAGACTGAGTTTATTTTGCTTTTACATCACATTAAATTATACTACGTATATGATTTCTAAAATATCAAATTTACAATTAGCTAAACTATGTACTGCCCGTGCATCGCACGGACTTGAAAGCTAGTAATAAAAATAGTAATATTAATAGAACCGATGACATTTAGCCACACAACCGTTTAAATTTAATTGATTTTTTTTTTGAAGGAAAACTAGCTCTCATTATAAAATCAAATCATTTGCCAATTGGCTTACAACACGAAACGGAAGAGACTCTTGAGTAAAACTACGATCTGAACTTAAAACGGTTGCTCTTGCAAAAGCATGGGCAGCCCGATTTACAGATCTCTTACAGAAAGACAAAGTAAAATTCTCATTTACTTTAAGTAATTCCCTGATATCATCTACCACCAAATCCAGATAAGACAAGTCTCCCACTTTCTTGACCGCTTGGACAATTTGGAGTGCGTCTGACTCTACCTCTACTTGTCTCCATCCTTTCCTGATGGCACCCACAATAGCTTCTCGAATCCCTCTAGCTTCTGTTTCTGCCGGTGTCCAGCCCGCTAACTTTGATTCACTGTACGCCCCCACCACTTCCCCTTGCGAATTACGTCCGATCCAGCCCCATGCCCGTACTCCACCTTGTTCATCTACCGCTGCGTCCACATTTATTTTTATCCATCCTGGTCTCGGGCTTCTCCATTTGTCCTCCGAATGCTCTGCTCGTATCCCAACTTGTTGGCCTGTGGTTTGTACCTCCCTCCAACTTTGCAGAGTGGCTTCTGCACATTGTCTAACTCCCATATCCTCCTGTGAAACATTCTTCCAGACCACTGCATTTCTTCTTTTCCATAAGCTCCATAGGATCATCAAAAATCTGCACCAACCCTCCTCATCCATGCCTGTCAACACCTCCTTAATCCAATTTTCCAGCCCCACCGTGCTGCTATTCCAGTTCACTCCCGCTGCCCTCCAAACAATCTGAGCAGTTGGACACAAATGGAGGATGTGATCATCCGTTTCCTCCTCCCTGCCGCACAATTTGCAATCCACCGGGATCAAAACCCCCCTGCTGCGCACCTTAACTGCCGATGGTAAACATCCCTGCATAACCTGCCAAAAATAAAATTTAATTTTTGGTGGAACATTCAAGTTCCACATTCTGCTCCACCCTTCCCAGGTTGATGCACTCCCATGACTCGCTAAAACTTTATAGCAGCTTCTCACCGAGAAGCGACCATCCTTCGCCGGATTCCACCAAAAGATATCTGCTTTGTCAAACATGCTAATCGGAATACTCAATATTTTCCTACTATCCTCCTGTGAAAAAATTGACCTGACCCGTTCCACACTCCAATTCTTGCCATCCTCCGTTCTCAGCGCTGCTACATTCATATCCATAATACCAACCGGTTTAGGCGAACTAACACGGCCCGATCCAGGCCCCGGCAGCCAAGCATCCGCCCACACCTGTACTTCTCGTCCATTTCCCACTCTTTTCCTCAAATTCTCTGCTACAACCCCCTGAGTCTCCATAATACTCCGCCAGATATATGATGGATTACTTCCCATTTTTGCCTCTAAGAAAGAAGAATTTGGAAAATACCTGGCTTTAAAGACTCTACTAGCCAGACTACTCGAATCAACCGTAAACCTCCAGGCCTGTTTTGATAACATAGCGATGTTGAAATCCCGGACCCTTCGAAAACCCAGCCCCCCTTCACTTTTTGGGTGGCACAATCCGCTCCAAGATGTCCACCTGAGCCCTCTTTGGTCCCACTTTGAGCCCTTCCACCAAAATCCGTTCATTAACTTTTCAATTTCATCACACAATTCTTTAGGGAGGAGAAAAACGTTCATAGCATAAGTGGGCATAGCTTGAATAACATTTTTCAAAAGTACCGCCCTACCTGCTCTGGATAAAAACCTATTATTCCAACTCTTTATTTTATTTACAACTCTCTCTCGTAAATAACTAAGTATCTCCTTCTTCCTTCTTCCAATTAGAGCGGGAAGAACGAGCTAATATCACGAAATAAGTAAGTAAAAACTCGTATTTCGGCTTTGTTTTCAAAATATCACGAAATGGATACCTTACGCACCGAATTTTAAATCAGAGACTCTAATTACGAATTAATCCAAATGTGCTCTATTTACTATGAAAACGCTATATTACAGAGAACAAGCTAAGTATTTGATTTGATCATATCTTTCCCTATGTTAGTTCTTCCATTTAATTTCAAGCATTTTATATGTAGTTGGAAAAACTGTTTTGAGCTCTAAAAATTGTTACTTTAATACTGAGTATATAAATAAAATATGACTAACAAGGTCATAAATTCGGAAAACATGAAGACATTGCTATATTTTTATGTCACTCTCAGATTTTTATGTCACTAACAGGTGACACTGTCGTCGCCACACATGTCATTGCCGCTATGAAACATATCACTATGACTACCGAAAAACGTTCTAGGGGACTTTTCCAGCAAAAATTTGAAAAAGCTAAAAATATTCAAGTGGCTCGTGGCGGCCGTTTCTGGCGCCAGTGAGGCAGGGGTGGTTGGCTGGGTAAAATTTGAATTAAAAGAAAAAAAAATATGTATTAGACAAATATTAGTCACATTTTGGAAAAAAGAAAACAAGTCATATTTTTCTACTAAAAGTGTAGAGGTAATATTTTTACCATTTTTGGTAAATAAGTTGGGAATGTAAATAGGACTTGAAGCTTTTAAACTCTTAAATAGGACTAATTTTGAACGTAGAGACAAAAACACCCTTACTGATTCCAGCCCCCAAGAATTTCCGTATTCGATCTTCCCAAGCCGGACATGAGCACCAAATTTAACAACGGAGTAATTGTTCTTGCCGGTCGCCGCAGGTTGCCGTCGGCCGGAGTTATCTCAAGTGCCAGTCATCATAGGAGCGGTCGATGACAGCAGGGCGGGTAGCCTCCTCCTTCTCTTCCCCCTCCTCCTCCTCCTCCTATCTTCCTCTCTTCCTCCTTGTTAGCGAGTTTCTTCTGTGCGTTGTATTTTGTTAACTGGTGTATACTTCATATGTGTCCTGTAGCTTTGTGCGTCGTTTTTGTGCACTGGGTTGTTCTGTTGTTTTTTTTTAATGTTTTTTGCCGATTCCTTTATTGAAATTGATTTCATAGACTTACTATTTATTTTGGAAAATCTCCAATTGCTAATAAACCACCGAAGTACTCCGTAATAGATATTGGGGAAGGAAGGGGCTGAAGCCTCAAGGCGGATATGTTGGCCTGGGAATTAAGAGTTGGGAAGTGGAAAGGACAATTAGTTTGACATTGGGAAGGGGAAATTTGGGAAATGAAGTGGAGTGGGCAATAACATCATGCCATTGAATTAATAGATTTTATGTTTTATATTATATTTTGGGAAAATAATGATTACCCCTGAGATTAGGTCATAATTATTAAATCAACCTTATATTTTTAGAATTGAATTATTTACCCCTTAAGCTTGGACCGTTAATTGTAAGTGGAATTCCCAAAAATGTCCTTATTTATTAAACTAAACTAAGGATTAGTATAAAATAAGAGTACATCAATTGAAAGTTTCACAGGCTTACTCCAAAAATATTCGAACAAAAAATTAATGTTTTCCCAAGCATCATTATTATTGCGGCACACTTGAAATTGCTTTGTGCCTTTCAGTTATTCTTCTTTTCTGCTCCAATTTCAATTCCCAGTCGCAGGCTCATTCATCAAAGGAAAATTTACTCAGCTGTGTATTTGAAGTAGGGGTGGGCAAAATACAGAACCGACATGGTATTGAACCAGACCGATATGGTACCGGACGGAAAAATAGGACTTGAAACGGTTCTCAAATTTTTTTGTCGTGAACCAGACTATATCGGTTCTAAACAATGTCATGATTGGTTTAAATTTGTACAACTACAGTTTATATGAAATTTAATTAATAATTATGTAATATGGAGTATGAAAATTGATAAATTATGTGGATTTTTGGAGGATGGCTAAAATTTAACTTTCACTTAAACACTTAAAAAAGTGAATTTTTTTGGTATTAGTATGATATGGATTTAGAACCGTACCGAATGGATTTAGGTCTATGATCGAACCAAACCGTTTCAATAGTCACGATACGGGTACGAGTTCGGCAAAATATTGGACTGGACCAGACCGTACCCACCCCTAATACGTAGATGAGAGGATTTAACAAATAATCTTAAACAAGGGTATTTTATTCAAAGAAATGGGCATTTGACTAAAATGTTGATAGAAGGGGGAGATTACAACAATAATCGTAGTTGAGGGGGGTAAATAGTTGACTTTTAAAAATATAAGGTTGAACTAATAATTATGATCAAACTAGAAGGAGGTAATCATAATTTTCCCTTATATTTTAGCTTTCAAGTTTGTTTTTTCTCATGACAACAATGTAAATTATGGCATATGTACAAATTGCTACAGTATTATTTTTTAAAACAAAGAAATTCTATTACATTGTCGTATAATGACATTGAGTTTTAAAAAATGGCATATTTTACATTGTCATGTAAAGACATTGATTTTTATCAATGACACTGATTTTTAAATAATTACATTATATTTTAAACAATGACATTACATTACATTGTCTTATAATGACATTGATTTTTAAAATGACATTACATTATCATATGATGCATGTCACAATGTAAAAAACGTCACAACGTTAAATGATAACAATGACAATATCACTATGGATAGCATAAAATCACATTGCAATAATCACAATGTCAATGACTATTCTGACAATGTCAATGCCACTATATGATGACAATACCATAAAAAAATGACATTGTAATAACATTGTATAATGACAATATAATATACAATGTCATTATATATGACAATCAAATGATGTCATTGTTTTAAAATCAATGCCATTGGTTGTAAGATCAGAAAGCTAAAAAAGAAAAAGTAAAAACTTTGGCAATTTTAAACATTGTTATAATATTATAAACATCGCTAATGTGTGTATAAAATGTCAAAATATCAAATAACTACAATGACATTATAAATCATGACGTTGTAACCATGACATTGGGAATGAAAGTGAAATTATATAATTGTAACCAGTCACTTTAAATTATGTTCATATATTAAAAATGATATAAATATGAGAAAATTATCACGCGTATAACTAAAACTGGATGTGCTTCCCATCTTATGACTACTTCAGTTTTATTCTTAATCTATGACCGCAGATGCCTTCATCCCATGCACGTGTGTTTTGAATTTTAAGCTAATACCATTACTATCCTTGTATGCAATTAATGAAATATATTTTCCTTCCTAAAATTGTGGCGATCTCCTTATCACGATTCAGCATAACAAGAGGCTTTGTAACTGCCGTGCGTATAACCGGCCCTTTAGTAAATGGAATATCCTAAAAATAAGGAAGTAATTAATAGAAGGTAAGTATTTTCATTAATTTTTCTCCCTTAACTGTACGTTCCCCTTAACTGTACGTTCTTTTCATCTTCATCCATTCACGTCTATCATTTCACGGTATTATCCATGGATTCCGTCCCTATAGGTTACTCGGAAATGTGGATTATGATAAAATACGACGGCCAATGGGTGTCAAATACTTTGTTTTCTAGTATTCATGTTGCCGGCATAACTATACCGTCCAATTGTACGTATGATGCCCTACGTTCTGAAGTTTGTGCTGCGATGGGAGAGCCCTATGCCGGCAAGAACATTAAGATGTCATACGTTTTTGCTGCGTGCCCACCTCCTGTGAATGTATGTGATGACGATACTCTACTCTTTTATCTACAATTGAAGAGTTTGCAAAAGGACCCAATGCAAATGCCTTTGTGTGTTGAATTTGTATCCGGTGAGGAGGTTGATGCTACGACTGGAGAGGATCAGAGCATCACAATATGTGATGATATTCACAATGAAAGTGGAATTAATCCTCCCAGTTATCTCGAACAGCGTGGTGGCTTAAGTGATGAAGGCAATAATTTCAGTCACACTGTGGATGCAGACTTTGAACTTGAACACATTTCGAGTGCTGAAATTACGAGGTTAAATTCTCTCGTAGATGAAGAGATTCATAATATGCCTGTAGTCAAGCATTCCGAACCCACGTGCATTGCATTGAATAGCATCTATGGAAGCAAGAAGGAACTTGATTTTCACTTAAAGATGTATGCCATTACCAACTTTTTTCAATATAGAACGAAGACTTCTTGCCCGATGGTTTTGCATGTTGTGTGTGTTGATTACCCCAATTGCAAGTGGGCTGTGCGTGCTGTGTGCGTTGACAAAGTGTCGTTGTTCCAAGTTAAAAGGTATGCATTTATTTCTCTGTGTTTATTGCCTTGCATGTCTATTACTGCCCTGTCACTGTTTGGTGTTTATACGTTGCGTGCATGTGTATTACTGCCCTTCATAACATTAGGTTTAAAATAAATGAGCAGTGGTAATGACGTATAAATTTAATTCCCTATGATGCTCTTTTATGGTTTCATTGCTTTGTATATTACTGCCTACGTAAAATAAATTTACAGAATTTAATTCCACAGTGTCTAGGACATATAATTTAATGTCCTATTACGTTTTTTATGTTGTCAGTTTTTTGGTTTGTTGGAAAAAAATGGTAAAAGGGAAATAAAATCACTATTGCAACTTGGGCATGAATATTATTCCCTTTGTGCACATGTAATATTTTCGTTCCTCTTGGATTCATTTTTGCTTCATGGTAATGTATCTCATTACTGCCCTATATGTACTAAAAAGTAAACATATTTACTTGCTCACTGAAAAGAACATATAAAATTAATGCCTTAGTACGTATTTAATTATTTGTATAAATTGCTGAAATATATTTTAGTTGGATTTGTTTATGGTTTGCACTTTTTATGTGATCATAATTACATTATTTATTCTTTTTTATTTGTTATTACACATGCATTAATTTTGTGTTTATATTTTTTTCCCGATCGATGTGCATTAAATTATTATCCATTCTAATGCCCTTTAGATAATGCCGAATGTTATTAATTTTTTCCAGATTTGACTCTGAGCACACATGCCCCATTGATTTGCGTCAACGAAATAACCGCCAGGCTACGTCTAGGATTATTGCCGAACTAATCAAACACGAGTACGGTGATCCCTCCAATAAGCCATACCCTCCGAAATCAATCATGCTTGATATGCAAACCAAATATGGCATTTACATGTCATACAAAAAAGCATGGATTGCCAAAGAATTGGCAATGGAATTGGCTATGGGATCTGAAAAACAATCATATGCTCGGTTACCTTCCATGTGTCATGTGCTTGATAGGAGTAACCCAGGTTCTATTGTTTCTTATTCATGCAAGGAAAATGGTGAATTTAAAAATTTTTTCATGTGCCTTTCTGCATGGAAAGATGGTTGGATTCATTGCATTCCTGTTATAATTGTGGACGGGTCTTTTTTGAAGTCATATTACAAGGGTACATTACTCACTGCATGTACACAAGATGCAAACAAACAAATATTTCCTTTGGCATTTGGTATTTGTAGTGGGGAAAATACTGAAAACTGGTCATGGTTCTTCAGCATGTTGAAGTGTTCGTTGACGCATAGGGATGATCTATATATTGTGTCTGATCGGCACGAGGGCATTATTAGTGCTGTGCGTTCTGTATTTCCTCATGCAGAGCATGGGTATTGTGTTTACCACATTCTGGCTAATTTGAAAACAAGATTTCGTGGCTCCCAAACAACCGTGTCATGGAAGTTTCTGCAAGCTGCTCGTGTAGGATCTGTGTATGAGTGTGAAGAGTACCTTCGCATGCTTGACAGTGAGGATGAACGTATTCGTACGTATTTAGAGCGGATCGGTTATGACAAATGGTCTCGTGCATATGCCAGTCGTAATCGATACTCGGTTATGATGTCAAACAATGCGGAGTCATTAAATGCAGTTAATGCCACGGCCCGAGAATACCCAATCTGTAAGTTGATAGAGTTTATTATTGCTAGGATGCAAAAGTGGTTCTGTGAAAGGCGAGAAACTTCTACGTCTAACACTTGTCGTTTGTCTACACACTTTGAGTCTGAGCTAGTAGTGTTACAAGCTATGGCCGCCGTGATGACAGTATTCCCCTCAACTCATTATCTTTATTCCACTGCTCTATTTGTTTGTATTTCACTGCTATTTCAATTAATTCTACATTTCTAAATATTTCATTTTTTTATTATTATTTTATAATGAATTGTGCAGGTGAAACCATCATGTGCTTTTGAGTTTGAGGTGTTTGATAAGAAA